AGCCCTAGTTATTTTGTCAGATGCACCTGAGTTTGAGCCCCATTTCTGTTTACTACATTTGTGACACTGAGCTGATGATTATTAAACCCTTTTTTCCCTCATGTATAAAATGGAAATAATTCCTATATTGCAGGCATATTAGCTAATACTTAATAATGTTTAATATATACGAAATTTCTGAATACTTTACCATGTGTTTGCTTATTTTAATCTTAGGATAACTATCTAAGCTATGTATTATCTCATGTTTTAGCAGAGGAAACTGCATCACAGAGAGGTTAAGATTTTGCCAGTGATGCATATGATGTACAGTGCCTGGCTTAGTTAGCATTTAACTGTATTAGTTTCTTTGTTGAAATGAGTGGCCATTTATGAACTTGAAGTATTGTACTTGAAGTAACTGACCTCTGGCACAACATTCAAAGGTTCTTCTGTGGCGCTTTTTTCTTTCCTCTTGTCTCCATAGCTCTTGGTGCTGGACAGGCATCTTTGTTTGGGAACAACCAACCTAAGATCGGAGGGCCTCTTGGTACAGGAGCCTTTGGGGCCCCTGGATTTAATACCACAACAGCCACTTTGGGCTTTGGAGCCCCCCAGGCCCCAGTAGGTAAGTGTTGGTCAATTTAGAAGGCTTTGCTCGGTTTATTCCTTGCTAATGCGTAACGTGCTGACCTGATTTTCTACCTTACTCCTTTCCCTTCTATACCAAAGCAGTGTGTATGTGCCATCATTAAACAATCATGAGCTTATTAAATCCTAACCTTTCCAGCTTCCCCACTTAGAGGCCTATCCCTTCTAAGAAACAACTTTTGTTACTCATAGCACCCAATGATATGTTTATATTGTGTGTTTTGCTTTAATTCTAAATACATTTAATTTGTGGTAAATGAGAATTTAGGTCACTTTTTACCTCTGCCTTCTTTATTCACTTCTTCCAGTAGAATTATGTTTTCTGAATTTATGAAATTTCCTAAATTTAGTTTTATGTTTTGAAGTGTTTTTCATATTTAATTTGAATGCTCATTCCCACGTTTTGCAGTGTCTGCCTACCACCTTTATTATTACCTATTTCTGATTAACTTGTCAAATTAATCTTAATTTAAATCTCTTTTTCAAGAAATGTATATTTTGGGGCCAGCAGATGGTGTGGTTAAGGCCCTGGACTCCTACGTGACCTTCTGTGGTTCAAGTTCTAGACCTTGTGACTTCTTTTCTTGCTTCCTCCCTCTCTCTCTCTCTGCTGAAGCACATGTGCCCTTATAATAATTGAGAAAGTGATAATAATAATAAAATAAATAAATAATTCTTTTTAAAAAAGTTTATTTCACCAGAAATGAAGAACTGGTATCTTCTGGCACAGAGCAACTATGAGATACATAAAAAGTTAGTAGGAAAAGAATGAAGGACAACTACAAAATAGATACAAAGTTAGAAGAAAAGAATGTATTTTCTATACCACTAAATTCATCTCCTTTACTATCATGATACATGTATGACATTTGAGAAACCTTTGCAAATGTAAACTGTGTGCTTGAGTACTACTTCTTATTCTGTCAACCTGGTAATAGTATTTTCTTGAAGCTCTTCTGTTAGGTGAGGATATTCGTGTGGTACCCTTTTCTATTCTTTATTTCTCCTCATTCTTCTTCTGTCTTTTTATTTATATATATATATATTGATAAATTTGATAACATCCTGCCTTTTAACTATTACTATTGTCCAGTCTTTGGTTAGAGAACAGTATAAAAATAGCAAATAGGGATCTACAGGTGGCATGGTGGTTAAGGTGCTAGACTCCCATATGGCCAGCTAGGTTTGAGCATCAGACCTGGAGGCTTGGTTTCTCACATTCTGTCTGTCTCTGGTCAAATTTTAATTAGTAATAATAATAAATAAAATTAAGTAATTCTTTAAAACAGTAAATAAAAGTTTCAATTTAACAGCATTTTATCACAATTTATGGACAAATTGTCACTTACTCAGTGTACCTTTCTTAAACAAATTTTTTTCCTCCTAGAATTTTTTTTTTGGAGAGGTTTTTGCCAAGACCAGGACTTTAACCAGACAGTCAGCTTTGTGAGATCCATCACCTTAACCTCCACGCCACCTGCTAGCCTGTAAATTCTTTTTTTAAAAAGAAATATTTAATTATATTTATTATCAATATTATCGTTACTTATTTTTAAAAATTTGCTCTAGAGCAGATGTACTCACCAGAGAAAGGAAAGAGGAAAGAGAGAAAGCAAGCTGCCAGGTCTGAGATGCAAACTGTGGTTGACCATGTGCAAGTCCAGCACCTTAACCACTATGCCACCTGCTAGCCTAAGCCCCATATTTTTTTTTACGTTATTTAATTTTATTCATTATTAATCATTATCATTTTAATAATTTGACCAGATAGAGACTGAGAGAGAAAGGAGGGGGAAGGAAAATGAGAAAGCAAGCTGCTAAGTCCAGAACTTGAACCATGGTCATCTATATGGGAGTCTAGCACCCCAACCTCCATGCCACCTGCTGGCCCCTCATATTCTTTTTTTTGGGAGAGGTTTTTGTTATAGGGCATGTGCGCTCGCCAGACAGACAGAGACAGACAGAGAGATAGAAAGCGAGAAATCACCACTCAGGGAAGATGGTCACGCCGCAATCCCTTCTCCATTCTCCTCTCGGGATCTTGGGCACGCACGCACACGTGCCTGGCATGAGTTTTAAGCCACCGGGTCCGGGACACGAACCGCCGTCGACTACGTGGAAATCCAACGACATAGCCATTACACTAACTGCTGGTTCCCGGCCCCTCATATTCTTAAGAGTAGTATCAACATTCTTTGTGCCATATTCTTAGCTTTGAATGTGCTGTACTGCTACTAGCTGCCTTCATTCTTTCAGTGTTTTTACTTGGTTTCAGCAGAGGCACACTTTGGTATTTTACTCTATCTGTTAAGTATTAAGGATTAGAAAAGGGCAAGGTATAGTTTTGAACATAGACTTTGTAATGATCGTTTTCTCCTCCCATTTTCTGTTCCACTTTACCAAATCTGGCATTATTTTTATTTTCTTTTGCTATTGTGCACATCCACTCACCAGAGACAGATTGGGGGAAAGTGAGAAATCACCCCCTGGGGAGAATGGCCATGCTGCAGTCCCTTTCTTCCTCCACTCTCCTGTTAGAATTTTGGATATTCCTGCGCAGACTTGAACCCTGTTGTTGGCCATATGGGATCTAGCGCCCCAACCTCCACACCACCTGCTGACCCATCAAATCTGGCATTCTTACTCAATCTCTAACCTTTCTGGGATTCCGTCTGGCAGATATGCTCCATTTTACTGCAATCCCCTTTGTACTTGATGCTGTGATTTCCTCTACCTATTTCGTCGCTGCTGTTCTTTTCTTTACCCTGGAAGTTTGTTACATTTTCCTCTCTCTTCATTTGCTCCTTTTCCTTTTTTTTTTTTTTGGTCATTGTAGGCTTATAAGTATGTATTATTTTTCTTTAATCCTAGATTTTATTTATTTATGTAGAGATTTTCTCCTATAGGGGACGTGTGCTCACCAGAAAGACAGAGACAGAGAGACAGAAAGCGAGAAATCACCCCCCAGGGAGGATGGCCACGCTGCAATCCCTTCTCCTCCATTCTCCTCTCAAGATCTTGAGCATGCACGCACATGCGCCTGTAATGAGTTTAAGCCACCGGATCCGGGACTCAAACCACGGTCGACTACGTGGGGGTCCAGCGACATAGCTATTGCACTAACTACTGGTCCCTAACCCTAGATTTTTATTATTTTAAAAACTTTGTCCCGAAGTCATGTGTACTTACTGGAGAGGCACTGGGGTGGGGGGGTGACAAAGCACCCCCCCATTTAGGATGGTCATGCAGTAATACTTTCTCTTCCAGTTCTCCCTCCTTTAGGATGTTGGGCAACCACACACGACATGGTTTTCAAGATGCCCTGTCAAGGACTCAGATGGCCATATGTACAGTTGGCCATATGGAATCTGGCTATATTAACCACCATGCCATTGTCTGACCTTTAACCATAGATTTTATAGATGGTTTTGGAGAGGAAGTGAATTACAATTATAATTGATTTTTATATAAACTTTAGAATCAGCTCTATCATTAAAGGTGATGCTTTTGTTTCTTTTCATTAATTTTGGTGGTTTTCAGTAGAAGAATGTAGCATAACTATTATCTGACATTTTTTCTTGGATAGCTTTTCACTAGCTTTGAATAAGTTACCTATTTTTCCAAAGAGAATTAAAAGTTTCTGATACAATGGGCCACCAGGTAGCATGGAGGTTAAGGTGACTGGATCCCACTAAACAGTTCTAGTCTCAGGTCCAGCAGCTTGAAAAAAACACCAGCTATTGTGTGTGCATAGGCACCCAAAGTCCCAAGAGGAGAAGGGAATGTGGCATGGCCCATCTCCCTTGGGAAGTGATTTTTCACTTTCCCTCTCAATCTCTCTCTGACGAGTGTTTGTACACTGTAGCAAACCAGGGGAAAAAAGTCATTACATAAAAATTCATTTGTTTGTTTTAATATTTCATTTTATTTCTCCCATGGATAAGACAGAAAGAGTGAATGAGAGGTACTAGCAGTATTTCAGCACCGAGATCTACCCTTCACCCTCAAGCTAGTCCCCATATCATGGGCAAATGCATGCTTGCAGAACTTAGGAAGTTCTCTAGATTTGAACCTTCTAATGTGGGATTGCCTTGCACAGTATTACATATTACTGCTGCACTGTCTGGCCTCCTAAGAATTTTAATATTGTAGTTGTGTACATATATGTTACTGCCTACTTTAAAGTAATTGTATTAACATTTGAAATGTACATTTTTTTGCATTCTTCAAGTTTAATTGGAAGGTGTTCTAGAGCTTAAATCTTCTCTTACTCTGAGAAGACCTTACTTGTTTTCAAACCTTAGTTATGGTGACTTCCTTATAGGATAGTCCTGTCCATTGTTTTGTTCAGGTGTTTTAGAAACCAAAACCTGCCTTCTTAGAATATCCACCCAGAGATTCTACATTTACTGCCTAAAGATTAGCAAAACCAATTTACTATAATTTCTTTGTGATAACTATGTTCCAGATAAATATGTCATTAGTTACTTCTGATTCATCAGAAGACTTTTATACTTTTTCCTTCCCCTTTAATCATGATTTGCTTATGATTGAGCTTTTTGGTATGCTGGTCCCAGCATCTATTTTTATTGTTTGTATGAAGTTCTCCCTTATTCGTACTGTATATAATATTATTTGTTCTGGAATATTCACTTACTAACTCAAAGATATTTTCATATTTCTTTATTGAAGCAGAATGTCATTATGTTTAATAATTATATAACGTGCCATGTGCATATGTCATGATTTTAAAGCTATAAAGTTGGACATGCAGATCATTTTCAGATTCTAAGGGGTTAAAGATATATGCAATTGAGACCAGCAGATGGTTTAATGGTTATGTCACTGGACTCCCATGTAGTCAACTGCAATTTGAATCCTGCATCTGGAGATTTAAAACTCAACACCGGGTATCCGATTGGCAGGTGGCACGGTAGTTAAGGGTACTGGACTCCCATATGGCCAACTGCGGTTTGAGTCTTGGACCTAGCAATTGCTTTCTCACTCCCTCCCCCCTCTCCCCCACTCTCTGTCCCTCTATTTCAATAAATAAAGTCAAATAAAATTTTAAAAAAACAAAACCTCACTGAGCCTGTTGGTGTGTGTGCGTTCCCGCCCATTGTCGCAAGAGGAGAATGGAGAAGGGATGGCAGTGTGGCCATTCCCCTGGGGGGAAAGGCTGTGATTTCTCACTTTCTGTCTTTCTATTTCTATCTCTCTCTGTGTTTTATAGCAAAAATCTCTCTCAAAAATAAAAGGTATGGGGACCAGCAGTTAGCATAATGGCTATGTCGCTAAACTCCCATGTAGCTGACTGCGGTTTGAGTTCCGGACCTGGTGGCTTAAACTCACTCTGGGTGCGTGTGCTTGCATGCCCAAGATCCCAAGAGGAGAATGGAGGAGAAGGGATTGCGGTGTGGCCACCCCCCTGGAGGGTGATTTCTTGCTTTCTGTCTCTCTGTCTCTCTCTGTCTTTCTGGTGAGCGCACACACCCTGTAGCAAAAAAAAAAAGTAAAAAGAGGCTGGCAGGTAGCATGGTGGTTAAGGGCACTGGACTCCCATATGGTTGACCACCGTTTGAGTCCCGAACCTGGCGTCTTGCTTTCTCGCTTTTTCTCTCTCTCTTTCTCTTTCTGTCCTTCTCTGGTCCAATTAAAATAAATCAATAAAATTAAATAAAATAATTCTTTAAAAAAAGATGTATACTTTAAGAAAAATACAACTCTTATATTAAAGAAATTTAAAAACTGTATTTTCTCTGTATATTATCATACTGTTTCCATACATGAAATCAATCTATAATGTTTCTAGAGGTCAGAACCTATAACTTTGTTACATATTGTGCCAGTGATAGTGAGGTAAACACATTTTTTTTACCAATGTTAATTTGCATTTTAAAGATTATAAGTGATGACATCTTCAAAGTGGATTTTTTAATGTGATGGATTGTTGGCGAAGTCATGACATGTTTTTTCTATGCAAAAATGCATCATAACTTTGCCAATGACCCAGTAACTCTTGTGAAAGGTGTATGGTTTCTTATGGAATGTCTGCATGTTTTACTCAAAGCCTTTGATTCTTGATGTTTCTCCACAATTTGCCCCACCTCAAATAATGTCATTCATTTTTTCTGAACATTTTGAAGACCATATTCTGAAAAGAGTGTTGAATTCTCTCTTATAAATGCATTGAACTTTTTTGTTTCTTGTTTTGAATAGCGTTGACAGATCCAAATGCTTCTGCTGCCCAGCAGGCTGTTCTCCAACAGCACATCAATAGTCTAACTTACTCGCCTTTTGGAGACTCTCCCCTCTTTCGGAATCCCATGTCAGACCCTAAGAAGAAAGAAGAGGTAAATTCGGTGATACTTCTATAAAATATCTTGTCAGAGGAAACATATAATGTGCAGAATGTAATTCTTCATTTGTATAGATTAAATGATTAACCAAAGCTAGGTTTGATTAACATTTTTTCCATTGCCAGTAGGCATATGTTTGTACCAGGGGTAGAGTGAGGATAGAGAAAGCATCCTACAGTGGGGCATGGTCATGCTGTAATCCCTGTTCCATTTCTTCACCCTTTCTGGATTTGGGGCACATGCTCACATGTGCCAAGTGAATTTTTCAAACCGTTGGGGCCTGAATTTTAACTGTGGTCAGCCATGTGGGATCCAGTTTCCTTAACCGTGAGGCCTGCTAAAGTTTAATTTTAAAAAACATATTCATGCTTTTCACTAGGCCTGGGGGGTAAACTGCTGTATCTGGAAAGTAGCATAATAGATTATGAAAATGAGCTCTGACTAGAGGTCAGAGATGAGAGTTTTGAAAGCCATCAGGGAAGATGGTATCATTTTATGGTAAACTTTTGGCTAAGAGAGCCTGACTTTTCTAAAGTCAGCCTAAGTGCTCCTAAGTGATAAAATAAAAAATTTACCTCTTGATTTCTGCATAACTTTGTCTTAATCTCTTCTAACTCTAGTATCAATGAAATGATCATTTTGCCCACAGTGGTTCAGTGCTAGGAATATAGTTTTTGATCTGTTTCATTCTTGTTTTACCACTAATACTCTCTGAGACTTAGAATCATTTTGCCTTTCTGAATCTCTTTCTTCATCTATTAATATAATGGAAATATGGTTTAATATTAAGGATTAAATGAGATAATGCATATCTGGCTCATAGTAAGTTTCTCAGATACAGAAATTATTATTCAGTCTTTTTATGTCATCGCATTTATCCCTCAGCTCATTCTTATATTATTAACCCTCTAAGCTAGATGTAATAAGTAAAGTATGAATATAAAAGTTCTAAAGTTCTATATTTTTCTATTTGTATTTTTTTCCATAGGATATACTCGCTGGAGAGAGAGAGAGAGAGAGAGAGAGACACAGTGAGAAATCATCCCCCTGAAGAATGGCCATGCAGCAATTCCTTGTCCTCCGTTCTCCTCCTAGGATTTTGGGCATGTTTATATAGGTGCCCTGTATGATTTTCAAACCGCCATGTTTGTGACTTCAACCTTGTTTGGCCATGTGCCTTAACCACTATGCCACCTGCTGACCCCCTAAAAGTCTTTTTAAAACATGATGTAGGGGCCAGCAGGTGGCATGGTGGTTAGGGGTGCTGAACTCCCACATGCTAACCATAGTTCAAATCCCAGACCTGGCGACTTGCTTTCTCATTTTCTCTCTTTCTCTGTCTCTCTCATTCTATCCCTCTCTGGTCAAATTAAACAAATAAAGGGATAAATAGAGTTAAATAAAAAATAATTTTTAAAAAAAGCATGATGTAGATCCAGTCCTGTAGCCTGGTAGTTAATGGGGCCAGACCTACATGGCAAACGTGGTTTGAATCCTGGCCCTGGTGGCTTGAAAAAACTCACTGGTTATGTGTGTATGTGTGTGCATGTCTCAGATCATGATAGGATGAAGAAATTGAATAGACTGAGGTGTGATCATGCTTTCTGGCAATAAAAAATTGTGTGTGTGTGTGTGTGTGTGTGTGTGTGTGTGTATCTATTCAGTGGCATGGTGAAGGCAGCTGGATTCCACTTGGCAAACTGAGTGATTCGAGTCCTGGACCTGGCAGTTGGAAAAACATTCTGGGCAAATGTGCATGCATGTCCAATGTCCTGAAAAGAGAAGGGATTGCAGTTTTCCATCTTCCGTGGGGAGTACTTTCTTACTTTCCTTCTCTCTCTCTCTCTCTCTCTCTCTCCCCTTCTGATCTCTCTCTGATTAATGTGTGTACCCTCTAGCAAGTTTATAAAACCTATGTATATATGTTTATGTGTATATATACACACATACACACACACACACACACACACAATCTATATAAAAATTACAGGGGCCAGGTTATGGCATAGTGGTTACATAGCTGGGCTCCCACATGGCTGACCACGGTTTGAGTCCTGGCTCTTAAATCATGACAGGTACATGTAAGACCAAGATCCCTGGAGGAGAAGGGATTGTGGCATGGCCATTTCCCCTATGGGGTGCTTTCTCACTTTCCCTTTCACTGTCTCTGTCTGTCTCTCTCTAGTATCTGGTGAGGACACATGCCCTAAGGCAAAAACTCTAAATATATATGTGTGTGTGTGTGTGTGTGTGTGTGTATACATACACACACACACACACACACACACATAAAATGTTTACCTCAATAAAAATATAAACATAGAGAAATATCATAGATACTTAGATGAATTCGATAAGACTTTTCGGGAGAGGTAACATTTAACTTTCTTTTTGATGTGTATATAGAAATTGGTAAGTCTAAGTTCAGTACATTTCAAGCAGATGCAGAGAATTATAAAAGTTGACAAAGAAGATCTGAGAATCTTCATTATCACTGAAGTATGAACACTACTAGGCAGTAAAGAAGTTGTGATTGGCTTTATAAGCTAGATATTCTTATTTGAAATGGTTATGTGATCTCATATATACTGTATAAGAAAACAAGTGTAGAACATTCTGAATCTGCTATAGAAACATAGGAGAGGTGCCACTTAAACCAATATGAAGCCTTAACTTCGCTGTGTCTCTACTCACTTGTTATTTCTTCAGTATCAGGGAAAATAACTTGAATGTTGCCTTGTCCCTCAATAACAACTTTATTGTTTTTATTCTTAGTACTTAGTGTTTGACTTGTCCTAGTTATTAATGTTAACTAAAAGATGGACAAACAAAACTAATAACCTGTTCTTTTTTTAGAGTGATTTGGATTACATAAATATTAAACATGAACTTAAGACTTAGTCTCAGTTTTTTCTTGATAAATAAGAGTTTGAGTTTTATCAAACAAAAAAATTTTCTGGGTTAGAATTTTTTGATATGTTCTCTTAATATTAACATAAATGTTGTCATCCTTGTTTTTGTTAAGCAAAACTATAGTAGGCCAGCTTTGCTTACACGGGATGAAGAGAATGGACAAGTATACCAATAATATATTGTGTCAGTAATTTATAAATTGCAAAACATTTTTAAAATAATTACTTAATTTTATTTATTCATTCATTTATTTTAATTTAACGAGAAAGAGAGAGAGAGAAAGTGAGAAAGCAAGCCACCTGGTCCATGACTCAAACCATAGTCAGCAATGTAGGAGTGCCCAGCGCCTCAACCACCACACCACCTATTGGTCCCGCAAAACACTTTTTAAATCCAGTGCCTTAACTGCATTTTAAAAATAAATAAATCAGCTGAAATATGGGCTGGAGAGATGAGTAAAAATCAAGTACAGAGGCGTAAAGACAGTTTCATTCTACGATCTTTCTCTATGTTTATACTTTTATTGAGATAAACTCATATAACATAAACTTCACCATTTTACTACATTTAATTGATTTTTAGTATATTTATAAGACTGTAAAAATTATAATCTTTGTACCTGTCTTTTCACATACGTGAAAAGTTCAATGTTGACAATCTTCAATGTTGACAATTCTTGTTTTACCAGTTTTAAGGCTTCAAAAGCTAGGCATCTGGTGGGGGAATGAAAGAGATGAGGTTTAAACTCTTGTCTTCTGACTTTTAAGAGCACTGCTATAAATTTCAGTTAAACTAGATCTGTCCTTGATGCTTTTTATCTTATTTTCCAGAGATTGAAACCAACAAATCCAGCAGCCCAGAAGGCTCTTACTACACCTACTCATTATAAATTGACACCTCGTCCTGCTACCAGAGTCAGGCCAAAGGCTTTACAAACCACAGGGACAGCCAAGTCACATCTCTTTGATGGGCTCGATGATGATGAACCTTCCCTAGCCAATGGAGCTTTTATGCCGAAGTGAGTTTTTAATGTAACTTAATATGAAATTTTTATTTGAATTAAATATAAAGTATAGTTATTTGAATGTAATATGATTTACTTTTTTATTTGAAAAACATAGAATATGACAGAGAAGATAAAAACCATCTTATCCCAGGGATAATCATACCTAAAATGAAGATAATCCAAATATGCCTCTGGTATACATGTTTTATTTTTGAAAACTTTATACTTTTTTCTTTTTAAAAACTCAAAATATCAAGCAGATTAAAAAAAAATCTATGTATATTTTAAATTTCCACGTAAGAATTTCATGCTGGGCCTGGTTGGTGGCATGGTGGTTAAGGGGCTGGACTCCCACATGGCTGACTACGGTTTGAGTCCTGGACCCAGTGGCTTGCTTTCTATCTTTTCCTCTCTCTCTCTCTCTCTCTGGTCAAAAAATAATAATAAAAAGATGAATAAAAAAAAATTCTTTAAGAAAAATTACATGACAGTAGAGAACCAAATATTAAAATAATTACACAGATGAAAGTAGAGGAAAGTATGTATAAGAATTGTTAATAAACATAGAAAATACACTTAACTAATGGTTTTGAGTAAATATGCCTTGAAATGTTGAAACACATTGAAGGGAAAAAGTGAACAAAATTACACAGCAAACTTAACATCATTTAACATAAGGAAGATACATGTATTTCATTTTTGGGTTAATTAAATACATAACTAAACTGACATGCTTGTGTGTATGATGGTGTGTGTGTATTGAGTAGATCTTTTTAATTTTATTTTTATTTATGATAGAGTGCACGCACATGTGAGAGAGAAAGAGTCACACATATAAGCTCCCTTCACAGGCTTTGGTCATGCCGTAGTTCCCTTTCTTCATTCCCCCAGCTGCCTGGATCTTGGGCACTAGTGCACTTGCAGAGAGCATTTCCAGGCTGGCCTGACTGTAGCTGCTATGTGGAATCTGGCCTCTTCAGAACAACACATCTTCACTGCACCATGGGGCTGGCCCCACAGAGGCTTTTTTAACAATTACTTTTCTAATCAGAAAAAGGAGGTTTCCTGAGCTTTGGAAAGAAGTAGAAATTCATCATTTAGAATTTTTTGAGTGTAAAAATATTTTTTAAAAGCCGTTCTGATTTTCTTTAAAATTATTTATTTTTTGTTGTTGTTATTATTTTTCAATTTATCAGAGAGAGACAGAGAAATTCTCTATTTTAATTTGACCAGAGAGGGACAGAGTGAGAGAAAGAAGGAAAGTGAGAAAGCAAGCCATCAGGTTCAGGACTTGAACCATGGTTGGCCATGTGGGAATCCAGAGCCTTAATCATCATGCCACCTGCTGGCTCCAAGAATAAATATTAATAAGTTAAAAGCATTGTAAGTCCCCTTTTTCTTAAAAACACCAAAGACTGCAGTTTTATAAAGGATGAAAATCCAATTTAACATGTTTCTTAGAATATCAGTGAATTATTTTAAAGGCATAAACTCTCTATTATATTCTGTCTTAACATTTTGCATATTGTTTAATATTTAATTTAGTTAATCTTTATTTTTTTCCATCTACCCATGTTGTTGGCATTCAATTTTCTGTCCATTATCTGTTTGCCTTTAAGAATTATTTTATTTAACATTATTTATTTATGTATTTACTTACTTACTTACTTTAATTTGACCAGAGAGGGACAGAGTGAGAGAAAGAAAGTGAGAAACCCAGCAGCTAGGTCCAGGACTTGAACCACGGTCAGCCATGTAGGAGTCCAGCGCCCTTAACTACCATGCCACCAGCCGGCCCCATGTCCATTTCCTTAATGGCTTATTTAGTTCTTTGATTTTTCACCTTGTTTCAAATATATGTAATTATAGATAGGAATTTCCCTCTTTTAATTCAGCTGTTTTTTAAAGTTATCTTGTATTTCAAGATTAAGTGTCAAAAAGGAGTAATTTTGATTCTTTGGAAATTCCAAATTACTTTATAGACCCAACATAATGTGAGCTTATAAATCTTTCTTGAGAATGTAAAAAGAATATATATTCTGGGACCTGCAGGTGGCATGGTGGTTAAGGGCCCCGGACACCTACATGGCTGGCCGTGGTTCAAGTCCTGAACCTGGTAGCCTGCTTTCGCAGTGTGCCTCTCTTTCTCACTCGTTCCCTCC